CCACTTTCCAGGTAGGACTTGCCATTGACTTGGAGCCTTAGTCTCTGAGACTTTTCTTGGTCATCCTCTGATAGTCCCATCTGTCCCCTGAAAGACCAGATAGAAGTGTATGTGCACAGAAATGGTTAGGAAATGCCAAAATCGCCCTCAAGAGAGAAATGGAAGAGGGGTTGCTAAAGCCTCTCGCACTATCACTTATATGAGCTATATTTTCTCAAATGAAAAAACATTGAAAAAATAGAAACACCTCATGCTTCATTATGGACACAACTCAAATGTAACAGCTAAAGATGTTTACCTCCACATAAAATCCACAAGTTCTCCCTTTCCAATATGGTGCTCCAGCAAGGTAGGAACATCATCTGGAGACACATACCCATACCTATAATAACATGTGAAGAGTTAAGATGCATTCACTCAATTGCGTTTGCGACACAGTTAGAATACAGCACCCAAACATTAGAATACAACATAGTAAAGTGCCAAAAGTGGAATCTAGGGAGGGAGGATGTACATATATGGTATACCTTATCGGCTTATCCCTACCTAAAAGGACAGAATAAGAATAAGAATAGAGACTAAATTGACAGAGAGATGATAATTACCAATGCCCTGATACATCCTTGCTACCACTAGGCCCAAATATGATGCAATTCCCAGCATAATTGTGGCCACCAATGTGTGAACATGGGCTAACAGACACTTTACCTTTAAGCCCTCGTGACTCTATCTCCTCTTTAAACCTATTAACTATGGGTGGCCCACAATAACCGGACCTGCGATCCCTTGTACCATGACAGCATACAAAAACATACCATCCCCTAAGAGCTTCTGGAGTTCCAGGCAACCATACACAGTCTTTCACAAGTACCTCCTCAACAAATGTATCCACATCAAAATGAGTCAATCTCCTGCAGTTTTAGATTTAAAAAAAACTCTCAGGGCTTGTTTGGTTGAGTGAATTTGGAGGGGAGAGATGATTGTTGTTTCACTAATTCCTCTTTATGCGTCCGTCTTAGATTAAAAGTACATATATGTTTAGTTAAGTCATATATTTCTATATATGAGCAGTTTTTTATCTTTGCATTCTTTCTATATACGAGCAGTTTTTTATCTTTGCATTCTTTCCAACAATCTAAATATAGCTTCCCTTCCCTCCATCTACATGTATAAAGGCTTATGTGATGGCAATGAAAAAAACCCACTATAATCCCAACTTTGTTGGGGTGTCAAGGGGTCAAGATATATGCAACCATAAACCAGTAAAAAAAACAGAGCGGTTTCCCCTAAAAACCCTTGATCCAATTATTGTCCAAAAACGTCATAGAAAGTAAGAAGCAATGGAGTTTAATGTGTCATTTGATATATTCCATTATTTACCAAAGCAAAAACGTTGTCAAAACGACTATCTTAGCTCCATTGGCATTGGGCACATGAGAATGAAACTAAGCTTCCAAATAAATTGCATATCAGTCACTATCCTGACCTGTATCTGATCATGTCCGGAAAGATTAACACATCCCCATTTGATGTCTCAGTTCCATCACGTCCTTCACATATTGTCAAACGGGTCTTAAAGTGAAAAAAGCAAATGGTCAATCGTCATATCTTGGTCATATCCACAAACACATATATCCCTATTTCTTCCACTGGAATAAAAATTTGTTAAAGCTCCCCTTCCCATCTAAAAATACCCCTCTTCTTACGTAGGGTTAGTCAAGAATCAAGATATAAGGTCCTCTGTCTTCCTTCACTTCCATAAAACTCAATATATAAGCCACCCTATGCAGTGAATACAAAATTACAGTATAACAGAAGCATCAAAATAGAAAGAAACCCATCCAGAAATAACCCAGCAGTGACATATACCAGAAACTAAAAGCCAATATGGGAAGATTGAACTTGAATTACATAAATAACTTTAAATTCTAAGTGTTATGTCAACAGTGTGATAGATCAGTTGGTGTCCTATGTATCTGTATTCTTGAATCATAGACAATAGCTTGACAATATTGCACTAGACTGCAATATCATTTAAAGTCCAACCTACTGGTTTTCCCCTCATTTATATGCTTTTAACATTATTTTTCCACTCAGAAAAAGGGGGTTGATATGTATTCAAAAAATTATGTGCTCTAAATTATAGATTCAAGAATAAAGAACATAGAACAGCTTTTATTTTATGATAATAATGTGGCTTATTACGCATGGTTTTGAGAATATCCTCAATCCTCATTACTATATATCAAGTGCAGGTTAAGAGGGGTGTAGCATAGATTTACGCCATCCACCCTTTCTTTTACTCAACTGCCAACTGGCTAGCTGTTTCTAGCTGTTGTTCAATACTCCCTCCATCCCAAAATTAAGTTACCCACTTTGAAAAGTGAAAAGTGAGTGTTTAGAGTTTGTTTATTTTGTTTACAAGAAAGAAGTATTTGAGACCACCACAACAACAATAGCCTAGTTGGATCCCACGAAAACGAAGTAAAGTAGGACCCAAAGACAAAGTATTCAACATATTACTACTAATGTTATATTCAGACCAAAAGAAGCACATAATCTGAGTAACACAAGTGAACTAACTTAACAGGTTGACGATCCTTGCATACATGCAGCTTCTAGTTGGTGTCCATTGGGGTTGGTTCAAGTGAAAAAATAGTTTATCAATTATCAGTACTTGTCTAGCAAAAAAGGGAATCTAGGACACAAACCATATGTAACAGAGCCTCCCTATGTCCGTTTATTATGGCGCAGTTTTACCAGGAACTAAAAAAATGTGTGAACATAATTTAGGGAGGGAAGGAGTTTCTAATACTCTAATCGCTTGAGGAACTGTCATTGTAAGCATGCAAATGACATCTATATTCTTTGTTTTTGATAATGTATGCTTCTCCTTACTCTTGGTGGAAAGAAATGCTGAGCTTTAATGGCTTTTATGTACTTAATATCTGCTTCCTTTTTCTTCCTAACACCACCAAGGCACCACCAACAACAAAACCAGTAAAATCTCACAAAAGTAGTGTCTCGAGGGGTTGTGCATACTCAAACCTTACCCCTACCCGAGGCAACGCAAACAATTCATCACTGAGACGCTAACCTAAAGATTGAAACTGCTAATTTTGGCATCAACCTAGGCAATTAGTTTATGAAGAAGATTTCGAAATAGTGTGAGTGAGCGGGTATGAATGGAGCCTAAATTTGAAACACAATGGGTATTCAAATAGCCGGAAAAGAATAACATATATGAAGGAAGGAAGCTCCAAATTAGCAGAACAATCACAAATGAAGCAGAAATCGATGGAGCTGAAACCACAAATCACCAAATTCAGAGTAAATTGAAAACGAAACAATAAACAAACCTTCCGTTTCATATCAGCCCTGCGAGCAGACAGAACAGCAGCGAGAAGCCTGGGCAAGCGATCGAACTCAGTGGCCTCGATGTGGGGAGGCCAGACCTGGGGGTTCTTGTAGCAGAGGAAGACGTGGCGCTCGTAAAACTCGACGGTGCCAACCAGAGGGCTCTGCCGGAAATCGGGGCGGGAGAAGCCGAACTCCGCGTCCCCCCCGCCGGCGACATCGAGTCCGCCGAGGAAACCCTCGTTCTGGAAGCTCCCGGAGGCGCTCCCGATCTGAGAGCCGTCTAGGAGGTAGCTGTCGGCGTCTGACACGGCCACCGGAGAGGACGCCGACGCGAGAGGATTGATCATGAATGCAAGAGGATCGTCTCTGTTGCTGGTGGCCATTAGTACGGAGAAGAAGAGTGCGTGGAATGTGTTTGACACGGGTCCTCACTCCTCACCAGTCACAGCGCAGTCCAGTGAGAGGGGGGAGAAGAGTAGTCAAAAGAGACAGTTAAATCTTGAACAAAAAGCTTATGATTTTGACACTTTAGTCACTTTACCAATTTCCACCCAAATATACTGAAAATCCACCTCAATTCACCACAGAGATAATAATTATTTGTGAATTTGTATAAATATTGACAATAATTTTTTGTGCACGCAGACGACTTTTGTCTGTGTTTATATATAATATGATTACTATCGTGATATCAAATGTGACAGATTTCTAAAATGGTTCATTTCCACAAAAAAATTGTTAAATTCGATCCAATTCTTATCTCACTTTATACATTAACTTCATTCTTCTGGAAACATTTACAAACTTAAAACAAAAACATTCTGAAGAGTAATGGTATCTTTTAATTGTCTATGAAAAGTCGGGTGAGAGGTAGAGAATCTCTGGCATCATTTTTTCTATCAACATTTATAATAGTGACTGAAATGAAATGAGATATACTACGGAACAAGTGACTTTCCGTACATTTTGATAAATATTTGCATGAATATAAGTTTTATACAAGAAATATGGATCTTTTCACATAAACAATAAATTATTACAGAGTATATGAATATACATTTATTTTTCCATTTATTAATTTTGTAACATCTTTATAATTAACCTTCCTATTTAGGGAGGGAATCTTTCATGTTTAATCGGCAATATACAAATAACTAGTTCTGTTTTTGGTAACTATTTTTATTTAAGGAATTACTTTACGTCGAGTCTAAATTATCGCACTTCCCATCCACATATTTTAATGTTTTTTTTTGTATTTCTTTGTCTACAATGTGACAATGTAAAAAAGAGTGGCTTTCATGTCGAAATAAATTTTAATTGGCTGTACATTTCATTTTTCATTAAATATATAATCCGTTTAAGTGTCTTTGTACCCTCTAATGTGGTGGCTGCATCTTTGCATGTCACCAAATTAAGAAACATGCTTTTTATTACCAAACAGAGCACCCCAACATGGGTTACAATATTATATTTGTTACCATAGAATTGAATAAAAAATGAGCTTGATTTACATTGCATGAAGAATTTAAACTTGAGAATGAACAAGTTATATGCAAAGATGCATTGTTCATTGCATAACAATTAGCCTCAAATATGCACTTATGTGTCCAGTTTTGCCCTCATTCAACAATAGAGTTGGAGACTAGAGTTAAGCTTTCGCATTATGGAATAGCTATCTGAGGATTGTCTTTGGATTTAGCGTTTAAACCCAAGAATGATACCAAAGCTGACATCATTAGAGACAATCATGTACATACATTTGAGATTTCGAGATCTCATTGCGATCGAGACAATGATGTCACCTTTGGTGTCATCCGTGATATGACCCATATCTAAAACTCCAACACTAATTACAAACTTTGTTCCCAAAGAGGCCCTCAACCAATCATCATACAATAAGAGTAGAAAACAAGAAGCAAGAAAGGGGTTCCACAAAAGTTTGAAATATACATTCAAGATTCAACCACTAATATTTAGTCTGAGGTAGTTCCTCATTCACCAGATGGGTTTCTCTCCAGGGAGGTAAGAAGGAGAACCACCCTCAACTTGGTTTACCCTTTTACTGAACATCCCACTGAGGTTAGCCCTCAACACCTTCTTCTCTTTTGGGTTCTTTTTCATTGGCTCCTCAGTAGCCGTCTCTGCGAGAATACGCGACGCAGTTTCTGCTGCTTTCTTTTGCTCCCTTTCTCGCCACCTTCGCAGCTCTCCCTCCACTGCCCTTTTTGCAGCTTCAGCCATCTCTGCCCTCTTCAGTGCCTCTTCAGTGGCAGCTTTCATGTCATTGATCTCCTTCTCAGTAGCCTCCAGCCTCTTGACTGCCTCATCCTCACTTGCTCTCACTGCATCCACCTGAGCCATTGCAGCTCCCACTTTCATCTCTGATAATCTCTCGGATTCTTCTACTTTTCGGCGTAGGGAATCGTATTCGTCTTTGGATAGGGTGATTTGGGCACCGGACTCGGATGTGGAGGCACGTGCTGCACTGGTTCTCTCTGAGAGATTCTTGATCACATTGAGAGCCTTGGCTTCGGCTGCTTTTGCTTCTTCAGCCTCTTCCAGTGCAGCTTTGAGCTTCTCCTCAGCTTCTTCCAGTGCAATTCTGATGGTTTCGCCTTCTTTCTTTACTGATTCCATTTGGGCTTTTGTTTCCTGTGTTTCGTATTTGGCACTTTCACACTCTGATCTGAGTTGGTGGAGGGTAGTGATCATTTCCCCAGAAACACCTCTGACTTTCGATTCTTCTCCAAGTGCTGCTTCAAGCTCGGCCTTGGCTTTCCTTAGCTTGACATGAAGATTCCCCACCAGTGATTCAGTTTCTACTTCCTTCTCCTTCAGCTCAGAGTGTTCTTTCCTCACATTCTCCAGCTCCAGTTTGAGATTTGCCAGCTGAGTTCGCAACAAATTTTCTTCTTCTGCTACCTTGTGCAGTGATCCCTTGGCACCATCCAGTTCTGCAGTGACCGCCCGAACTGAATCAAGATCTGAAGACCTTGCAGTATCCATTGCCCTTTGAAGCGATTCTATCTGTGACATTGTTTCCCCCAGCTGTGTTTCCATACTTTTCGTGAGCTGGGGATGGATCTCGTCTCTTAAAGAAGCTAACTTTTTAGCTGATTCTTCAAGGCTGGACTTGTATGCCTGTTTCTGAACATCCTTCTCCACATAGATTGCAGCTTCTTCTTCCTTCACTTTAAAACTGGCAAGTTTTACGTGCTGGATCGAATCCTGCAGAAATGTAATTTCCTTGGAAAGCTCTGCAGCTTTTTCAGTGCTGGACATCGCAGATTGCTTTGCTTCTGCTTCTTGATTCATAGCTGCTGATCTCACACCTTCTGAAGCATTATAATCCTGGCGCATTTTCCTCAGCTCTTGCTTTGCCCCATCAAGATTGGACAATGCAGACTTATATTGGTCACTTGCGGTTTCCAAGTCCAGCTTCCAAGAGCCGTCGCTCATCACTTTGGAATAGCTATCGACCTGAATCTTTGCCGCTTCAGAGTCCATAAGTGCAGAATCCTTTGTTTCAGAGACTATTTTAAGCTTTGAAGTCAGATCCTCAACGGCTCGTTTAGCCCTTTCAAGCTCCGCGAGTGCTTGGGCTTTTGTGTTTTCTGCATTCTTCAGCTTTTCCTTTAATCTGTCTATCTCTTTCTGTGCCAAGTGTAGCCGTGTTTCCTTTGCTATTGCTCTCTGGAAACAAATAAAACAACATACAAAGTGATTGGTACTAACCACATGAGGCAAGAATACAGATCTGTCTGATAAACACTGGGAGCAATTTGGAACTCATCAAGGATCTGTTAGTTTACAAGAAAATATTTTCATTGATTCTCTAGATTTTTTGGGCCAAACATTATATTATACTAGTACGTATAGCAACTGGTTTTCCCGGAAAAAAGGTTATCCACTAAAATAAACAAAGCCTAAATGAAAGATATGGAATAATGAGGATTTCAAAGTACAATTATTTGAGTAGTACATCATGTACATGAGTAGGTTGCCTTATAGCATAACAAATCCCAACAATTTTCCAACAAACTTAAAGTAGAACAACTAACTTAAAGTAGTGAGCAAAATAGGAAACCATTTAAAAACTTATAAAAACCTGCCTCTGCAGAATGAGGTTTTGGCTTCTTAATTGCATTTCTTTCCCCTGAGAAAGCACCTTCACCGAACAAATTGACTGCGTCTTTGACCGACTGAAACGGTGCGCTTGTGTCTATTTCTCCAACTTCCCCTTTTGGAGATCCCTTGGTGGCTTTCTTGAGGTCTTTCGCAACCATGTTCTTTCTTTTCTTATTTTGGTATTACCACCTATAAAGATCACCCAAATGAATCTAAAAAGGACACCCATAAGTGGAAAGATTGAGTTTCACATAGCAGATAAATACAATGTTAAATACTGTGATTTCCACAATAATTATACCTTTTTTGCACCCTATACGAAACCTCGGATTACTCCAAATGAACACTATAACCCACTAATTATACTGTACTTTTTTTGCACACTCTATCTTGGATTACTAAAGATCTAAACCAGAAAACCATAATGGAATGGGCTTAAAAGCATTTCCTTTGGAGCCAAATTTAGAAGAAAAAAAGCAATACACAAAGTCACAAACATAAGATATGTATTAACAGTTCACCCAACCTAACATAACAAGAATTATGCAGATTCAAGAATACCCAAATGTTTTTTTTCATAAAGACTTGGACTTTCGATACAAAAATTGCAGCATAAACGAACAGACCCTTGAATCATATTTCACGAAGCAAATAATCCCCCAATTAAGCACTTGAAAAATCAGGAGAACAAAAATAAAAGAGAGGGAAAAAGTGAAGAAAACACATACAGATGAGTGAGTGTGACCAAAATCAAAAGTTTTGATTTATGAAAGGGCCCAACAAAAAAACCCTAAATTCATCAAGCTCTTGAAGTTCTGCAAAAAAGAAAAAACTCACAGGTTCGGAAAGAAGAAGAAGAAGAAGAAGGTGGAACAGTCTCTTGGAAGTCAAGAATATCCCAAGCCCAGAAAGGAGAAAAGTTGCAACCTTGAAGATTCTACCAGTCTAAAACAAACACCCTTTTTGTTATTTATGTAACGGGGACGAAGAATCAAGAAACTGGGAAGAGATATAGAGATTGAACAGTGGGGGAGAGGAAGCTGGGGTGAGAGACAAATTTAATATACTGCCATTATTGGCATCATCAGGTCGTGAGAATCAAAGGGATGGGAGAGGGCGACAAGGGGAGCCAGGTCAGCCGCGACACGGATGAAGATTGGAAGAAGAGAATCAAAATGGTGATATTGAAATTGGGAAGGAAGCAATGGGCCAAGCGGGAATTCTCTTTCTTTGCGGTCATGTTTATCTCGTGCCTCTTTGACCCGATTGTTGTGTCTGTTTGGTTTGGTTCCCTGGAATCCCTGGTCTTAAAGTTTTTATCTTGTGTGAGTGAAATTAGTCTCCTTTCTTCAAAAAAAAAAACATTCTTAAAGAGTGTGGCACGGAAGTGGAGTGACATGTCATCCAGTGACAAGTCACTATTTTTATAAATTTTATATTTTTTTCACATATTTTAATTATTTAAATTTATTTTATTTATACTCCCTCCGTCCAAAAAAGAAACTTCTCACTTTCCTTTTTCATCCGTCCACAAAAAAACTTCCCATTTCTAAATTTAGTAAGGAATTGAAGGGTAAAGGTCAATTATACCCCTCCCTCTCATTCATCGTCATTATCCCCATTTACTCTACGCCACCCACCTATTATTTACCTCTACTTCTTTGCCATTTACTCCTTCACGCCATCCTCTTCCACAAACCTCTTAGATCTAGGGTTTTCCTCCTCTCTTTCGTCTCTATTCCTCCTCTCTGATACCTTCACCAAGTTGCTGTCACCTGTACCAGACCAGCGGATTTAAACGAGACAAGTGGGTGGGTGAATTTCCATGGATTTCGAAGATCTGCGCTACCTTTCTGTAATTGAAGAGACTGTGGATGAAATCAACCCTGAGGAGACCGTCGAGGATGAAAAATCCTTTTCCGCGTATGGCGATTTGGTGATTGAGCAACTTCATCCTCTTGAAGAAGGTATTCCGGAGGTTGTCCCTGATTCAGAGGAAGAGGATGAGCCCGCTGAGCCCTCTCCAGTGTCAAGCTTTGTGTGCGCAAGAAAGCACACTTGTAACACCATCTTAAAGCTTATGTTCCCGGGCTGGGATACACCCAAGTAGGGATAAACCGTACTCTCTCTTCTCTACTTTAAGCACA